CTATACTGGACATTTTGTATAAATGGAATCATTTAGTACATGGACTTTTGTGTCTTCCCTCTTTGACTTAGCATAGTATTTTCAAAGTTTATCCATGTTACAGAGTCAGTCAGTACTTGACTGACTCTTTTGAAAAATTCTGACTAATACTCCTATTGTATAGATACACGACATACTCATCAGTGGATGAACATTGGAGTTGTTACGATGTTTTTTTGCTAGTATGAATAATGTTGCAGTTACCTTTTTTTTTTGATGGTACTGGGGTTTGAACTCAGGGCCTCATGCTTTTAAGGCAGATTCTCTACCACTGGAGCCATGCCCCCATCCCTTTTTCATTTGGTTATTTTTGAGATAGGATCTTGCCATATTCCTAGGCTGACCTGGACGAAGGTTCTATTTATGCTTCCTGTGTAGCTGGGATGACCGGAGCATATGCCGTCACATCCAGCTTTGGTTGAGATGGTGTCTTGCAAAAGTCCAGGCTGGCCTTGAACCTCGATTCTCCTGAGGCTGCCTCCCAAGTAGTTACAATTACAGGCTTTATTCATAGCACCTGGTCTCCTTGCCAGTATTTCTTATTGTCTGTCTTCTTTTTGTTGTTGCTGTTATTTGAAGATGATTCTCACTGGTATTGTCCTACTGGGCTCAAGTGATTCTCCTGACTCATCCTTCCAAGAATTTGGGTCTATAGACATACACAAAGGTACCGAGCTGTCTTGTCTTTTTTTTTTTTTTTTTAATTTATTTAAAATTTTTTTTCCTTGTCTTGTCCTATTGATTATAACTTTCCTAGTGGCTGTGTGTGGTTTATCATTGTGGTTTTGATTTGTATTTCCCTGACGAATAATGATGTTGAATGTCTTCATGTGCTTATTGGTCATTTGTGTGTCTTTGGATAAATGTCAATGTGTCTATTCAAATCTTCTGCACATTTTCAGTTGGGTTATTTGTTTTTTTTTATTGTTGAGTTTTTTATCAGTTATATTCTTTGCAAGTATTGTGTGTCACTTTTTGGGGGGAGGGGCGAGGGCAGTGCTTGGGGTAGAACCCAGGGCCTGGCCGGGTTGGGCAAGTGCTGCACCACTGAGCCGCGTCCCTAGCTGTGTTTTTCACTTTCTTGATGAGTTTTCATTGAAGCACAGTGGCTTTAATTTTGATGCAACCCAATTTATCTTTTTTGTTTGTTGCTTGTGTTTTGATGTCATGTCTGAGAAACTCTCATCTAATGCAAGGTCATGAAAATTTACATGTATATTAACTCTTACATTTAGCGCTAATCCTTTATGTATTACCTTTTGTAAATAGTAAGATAGAGGTCAAACTGCATTCTTTTTCATGTGGATATCTAATTATCTTGACACCTTTTTGTTAAAACAATTATTCCTTCCCATTTAAATTATCTTGGGCACTTACATTGAAAATCAATTGACCTCACATGTGTGGATTTTGTGTTTGTGTTTCTTTTGTAGTATTTGTCATTAGGTGTCTGATCTCATGCTTTATATTTGCTCTTCATATTAGCAGTTGTTACTGTTGTCATATACCTGTGAAGCTAGTCCTTTGTAGAGCTAATAAGATGCCAGGCTCAGGTCAAAATAATTTTTGCTCTTGGACTGGAAAAGATGCTGGCTCTATTGATACACTTAAGAATTTATGTACTGTTACTTTCTTTGTATAAGTATAGTGAGACTAGGTTTTTATGTTCCATGTTTTCTGCCTTCTGTCAATGATCTGGGAGTTAAAGAGTTAAACACACCAAATTCTTTATCAGAGTCTAGTGAAGATTTAATGTGCTGTTTCTGTTGCTGGGCAACATTTTAGTAGCTGTCCAGATAGTGTTTCACTATAGGTAAATTTCCCAGTAAACCTGTGAGTGGTTCTGAACAGTTTGACTCCCTATTTTTCTTCTCAGCTGCCTTGTTTCAGCCTTTATAACTGTCTGACTCGTGCCCTGAAGCCAGGTCCTTTGAATGACACCACGTCTCTCTGCAACCTTTATTGGCAGAGATGAGAAATGTCTAATCTATAACTCAGTCAAACTGACTCATTGTGACAGCTGGTTTCATAAGCTTTCTGTTTTATCAGGTAGTTCTAAGATCATTTTTCTAGAATATGTCATTTTACTAATATAATTAGATAAAGCAGAAACCATATGACTTGTTTTCTATGCCCATAAATTAGCAATTAAGGATAATTACTGTATCCATGAAAGTTTGCAACATGAATCAGTCGGTATACTGCTTTGGCAGATCAATTTTCCATGACAATTTCTCAATCTTAACACTATTCTCAAATTAAAATTCTGATAAAGCATGTTTTACTTGCTTTTGATGTTTACTGTCTCCTCACTAGAGTATCAGCACCCCAAGAGCAGAAATTGTTGTCTTTTTGTGTTGCTGCAATATGAAATTTGATTAGAACAGTGTCCTGCACATAGTAGGCACACAATAAGTATGTATTGAGCTAATAAATGAATAAATAATTGAATGACTAAACTTAGGAAAGTAATCAGCTTAGATTCAGGTTTTCAGAGAGGAAAACTGACTTGATGTCTATGAAATATAAATTGATTTGTAGACCCTTGATATTTTTCATATTTTGCTTAGATGTTTTAAGTATTGCTTTTCCCTTGGAAGGTATTTTCTCTTGGTTTTATTTGGTGGAGAACCTTTGATAGGGGAAGACCATTAGAGGCATTAGAGGCAACAACACCTTTCTAATGTTTTAGGGTGAAATGGAGTTCTTCTCACTAGTTACTCTGTTTTTGAGATTTTTCAGTAGCCTTTGTCAGACTTGAGAAACAAAGCTCTTTCCTGGGCTGGGTCAGTGCTTGCTCATCAGAGTTTACTGTGACTAGCCAAGATGAGTTCTCTTGTAAATGGGTTCTTCCATCTGAGCTTTACCAAGGGGTGCTAGGTCTCCTGGAGTGTTTTATTTCTGTGAAAACTTGAATTTTAGAATTAAGGAGCAGACATTGGAGATGTGATCTGGTTTGTATGGTATATGTAGCATGGCTCTCCCTAGCTCTATTTGGAATGTATGCATGAATGATTTAAAGTGTATATATTCTATGGTGTACTGTCCTTGTGATTCTGTTTCTGCCACTTGTGAGGAAGGATAGATAAGTCAGATCCAAACTCTCTCCCTTCCTTGATTTGTTTCATTTAGGAACTTCAGGTACCATCTACTCTACCATACCTGGTCTTTCCTGGCATTGATTTGTTTGACTACGTATCTTTTAAAATCTCATTTCCCTGGGATGATGCCCAAGGCATGGGTTCTCAGGATAGGCTCTTAGGAAGGTTGTTTGATAACACTGGTCTGAAAGGATAAAAGTGAAGAAGAACATGTCTCATTCATAACAATTAGGAACTCTCTCTCTTTCTCTCTCTCTCCCATGGTATGTGTAGCCAGAAGAATAATTTAGGTCAAGGTCTGTGTCCTTAAGTCATTGGAGATATGGAGACATTAATCAGAACACTAGTTTTTAAAAATAAGAATATGCACGTTTGTGTGATAATAGTTCCTATGAAAAGGTAGTGGAGTGGATAAATGAGTTGTGCTATATTCATATAATGAAATACTATATGGCCATGAAATGAATAGTGTTTCACATCATCATGGATGAATTTCACTAAATGGAATGAGCAAAAGAAGCAAGTTGTTGGTGGGTATCTGCAGTAAAGTCAGTTAGTATAGAGTTCAGAAACAGAAAAATATAAAGCCTTATTGCTTAGGGATGTAAACATAAATGGATGTACAGAACTGCAGAAAAGCAAGGGAGGGATTATCACAGTGGTCAGTGGGTATCAGAAGGTACTCTGAGTCAGGAGAGGTACAGAAGTAATCCAAGGTTTGGCCAGTGTTCTAGTTTTTAACTTGAGTAGTGTTTACTCAGTTGTTTACTTCTCTTACTCTCCAACAGGTATGTTTAAACGTACATCTGAATTTGTGTTAATATTTCACAATTTAAAGCATTACTTAAGGTGGAGAGGAGAGGGAGAAATGTCATACTAGTGTGTATGGGGCTTCCCCTCATATTCCTTTTGGTTCTGCTTCCCTCACAAGGGTGGTTCCTTTACAGAGAACTCCCTGGTCTCGTCTGAGTGCTGTTCTCTGTTGACAGAACACCCCAACCTTTTATCTGCTAGCCTTTCAGCAGCTATTGCTTGTTGTGAAGCTTGGAATTTAGTGTTTCTGATCTAAGTGATGCTAGTGCTTGAGCCCATCTGTTCCTTATAATGTGCCTCTCTGAACAAAAGCAATTTGAATAGCTTGAGTTGTTTTTTCTCCCTGTCCGTTCCCAACTCTCACTTGAAATCCTCCCTTCTTTTGCCTTGGAAAGATTTTAAATCTAAATGCCAAGGAAGTTCAGAGCCTTTTTCATAGTTGCAAATGAGTTCTATGCCTGGCCCCCTTTATCAGAGAGATGAAAAGAACTGCTACCCTTGGGATCCTTAAGGTGCTTGTTAACAATCTTCTGTTCTAATCAGGGCTTGAGCTTTCTAGGTTATGGTTCTTCTGTATTTCTCACTTGATCTCGGGCATGCTCAGTTCCTTCTGGATGGTGTGTAGGGGCTTTTCCCTTCAGCTTCCTCCTTTCTTAAGTCTGTCACTATCCTAGAATGGAAAGTGTGGATGGGGGTACTAAATTCTTAATAATTGGAAAGAGCACAGGTGTTGGTGCTTCCTGGGATGAAATTACAAAGGCCATTAACCTCTGTATCTCACATGCCTTTTCATCCCAGTCTATTTATTTTATGACTTTTCTATTGTTTGTTTAATTCCTACTTATATTTTCTGGTCCATCATTTCTGAATCTGGCCTAAGGCTTTGGGTATGTATTTCTCTTATAAAATGAAAGGCAATTCTGTTCACTTAGTCATTCAACAAATTTTTAAGGGACTCTGGGGTACCAAGATATGTTAGTAAACAACCTACATTGTGATGATATTGTCTTCATGTCACTAATTTTCTCTTTTTTTCCTCCTGATTAGGTTCTCTCAGGGTGTGCCATCATTGTCCGAGGTCAGCCCCGTGGTGGGCCTCCTCCTGAGAGGCAGATCAATCTTAGCAACATTCGTGCTGGAAATCTCGCCCGGCGGGCAGCTGCCACACAACCAGATGCAAAAGACACCCCTGATGAGGTAGGTACTTCCTGAGTCCTTCCTGGTGACCTATGTAATAGGTCTGATCTCTTTCTTGACTGATGCAATTTTGAAGTGGTCTTTCTTTTCTTTTGTTCATTTTTGAGTATTTTAATATTATGGGACTGATGACTCTGGATATACCCCTCGTGGCTTACATTTATTATACACTTACTGCCTTAACAGCAATCATAGGCTCAGGGTTTTTTCTCCTTCCAACCCTTTTCCACAGGTTAAGTTTGTCTTTGTGTTTTTACCATTTGTTTTTTGGGAATAGATGGGGAACATTACCTACAATCTCAGCCATACGAAGTCACCATTGGTTATGGAAAGGCTGTGGAAAAAAATCTAGTACTTTCCCTACAGACAACTGCTGTTATTAGTGTATTGTGTCTCCTAGAGATATTTAACATTTATATAATGTCATTTCCATAAATGATAGTGAACTATAAATGCTAGGTCCTTTATTACAGATTCTTTGTCTGGGATCCATGCATCTCTAAAAAGGTATCTGTGAATCCCCTGAAAGTAAAGTTTTGTATAAACATGAATTTTTTAAGGAGGGAGTTTTTAATCAGTTTCTCAGCAACTCATAGCTCCCCATCACATTAGAGTAATTTGAGAAGCTGCTTCTGGACATTTGTGCCATTGTCTCCTCTACACCTCCTGCATCTGAAGCTCTAATGCCTGGCCACCATGGCTTCTCTGTGGGCTGCCTTTGACTCCTTAAGTTCTTGCTTCTCCAGGCAGTTGCCATGAGTCCAAATTTGGCATGGTTTAGTCTTCATAGCGCTCCCTCAGTAGTGCTTTGGCTATCAGAAATGAAATTTCTGGATTCTAATTATTTGTTCTCTGCCCCAACTTGATGACATCGAGCCAATTAGTTATTAGGTTTCCTATACTCTGCCCTTCTAGGGAAGTGAAAAACAAAAAGCAAGAGCTTATGAGGATCTTTTATTTAAGGAAAGCATTTAATTTTTTCATCTTTAACAAAGGGTATTTTGTTTGGATTAAGAAGATAGTGAAGCAGCACTATAGATAATAGAGATAGAGAAAAAAAATCACACATAATTATTCTACCAACAGCAATCGGTTAGAATCTCAGCATAATGACTAACTAGATTAAAATCAGTTCTTTTTCATTGGTCCTCCATCAGTAACCATAAGTGTTGGGAATGATATAGTAGTATATACCTCAGGGTTGCTCAACAAAGATTAAATAAGAAAATGCTAAGTACTTCGGGCATTATATCGAGACTTTTTTTTTGTGGTAGTGGAGTTTGAACTCAGACCCTCACACTTGCTTGGTAGGCACTGTACCACTTGAGCCACTCTACCAGTCCCTTAGGGCATTATACAGTGTTTAATGGTAGCTGTGGTAATCACTACTGCTGTGTTAGAGCAAGCAAGTGAAGATTAAGCCTCTCAGCATTTTTCAAATTTTGGGTGCTAACCAAATGGGTAAATCAACATTTTGAATAGGTCTCTTCCTTTCAGTTGCATGTTGTATAACAATTTGATTGCCCTTCTTGGAGTTGATCAAGTTTATTTCTCCAGAAGAAAGAAGCATTGTAGTCTGTAAGAAGGGAGGGTTGTGTTTTAGTTTCCTGTTTCATGGATGTTCTGCGGCAGAGAAGCACAAGGCCAGTTGGGACTTGTTCTACAGTATCATAGCTACCTCCTGTGTAACAGGACAATAAAATTTGACTAGAGCTTCCCTAGCAGGAATGATAGCATGTAATCTTACATAGCATATGTTTATACAGTCTAATGCTTTGTATCTTACAAAGCAACTCAGTCTCACCAAGTTTCTCCTAATAACTCTTCAAAGACCCCAGTGGGATAAAGTATTTGGTAGCTGCTGATTTCAACCTTTCCCATCCTGCAGTCATTTCTCACTCCTAATACTCAGTCTCTCCTCACTCTACCATGCTCTGGTTCTCCTATCATGTTCTCAATCATAGCTGCGCTGATGCATGTTACCAGTAATGCCAACTGGTAACCCAAAGAGAAACTTAATTTTCCTTACTCTTGTTTCAGTCCTCTTCCCTCCATGCCAACATCCAGGCCTTTATCAAGACCTAGACATTCTGCCTCCTTAAAATCTTCTCTTACCCATCCTGACATTTCATTACTATTGCTATTGTCTTTGTTCAGCTTTTGATAGTGTGTGTGGAATGTTGAAATAATAATCTCTTTGCCTTCGTTCTCTTTTCCTTTTGTCCTTTCTCTGTAGGGTCCCACATCCTTTTGAAACATAATTTTATTTATTCTCTTGCTCCTAGTTACTCCCAGACGCTGATTCCTCATTACTTTTGTGACAAATCTACATGCCTGAGCCTAGAACATAAGCCCATTTGTGATTTGACTTGCGTTCCCCTCTTGAAGCCCTTCTGGTATGTGGAGGCCTAACTATGTGTAGCACTCAGGTCTCCTCATAGGCCACTTGAATCCCCTCGTCTCTGGCCCTTAGCTCATGCTGCTCCCTCCATCAGGAGTGCTTCCACACAAGTGTGAGTTGGTGACTGCCATCTTTTAAGATTCAGTCCCTTGAGATGTCACACCTAGCATTTCCTCTCGTTATCCCATTTTTTGTGCTGTCAGAGCATTTCATTGCAGGTCTATATGTTTTTTTGCACTAGATCATAAGCTCTTTAAAAGGAGGGACTTTTTCTCTCATCTCTGTTTCTTTGTGCTTATTTAGCACCAGACACAAAACTGCTGTACAATGAATAAACATGTAAGTAGATTAGGAGGAAAAGTATCTAAGCGTTTCTCTTTTGGAGTTGGTGGATTGCAGAATGTGGCACCACCCTTCTAGGCTTTCCACTGATTTAGAGCATGTCGTATAGTTTTTGTCACATTTAAAAAGAGTCATTTGCTTCCCTTTGTATCACTGTCCCAAATATTCACTTGATTATTCTCTGCCTTCCTTCCTGATACCTTCTTTCAATAATACTCATTTTTTTCCTAAGTCCTATGGCAGTGAAAGTAGCTCCACTGTCTTTCCCCAGCCAGCAATGCCCTGTTCCAGGCTAATCCCCATTGTTGCCTAGCTACTCCAGGCAGCCTAGCTACTGCATTGATGAGCACTGTGGGAATTATATATTTATTTTCTTTGGTTTAATTGAGCTCCTGCTGTGCGTGAAGCTCTATGTTGGACTCATGAGAAATACAGAAATGAATGTCACAGAAGCCCTACATTCCTTAGAACTGAGGATTGGGGTTGTATGGGAGAGGGGATAGAGCAGGATATCTAGGTGGTACAGTGGGATGTTCAGAAGAGGAGGGACAAGAAGTATTGAATGTTGGACTATGTACCACAGCAACTACTTTAAGGTTTTACATTGTTTTGGGGCTTGATCTTGTCTCAGTAGTTTTAGGAATCTAAGAAGATTGGAATTTAAAAGTTCCATTTCACAAACTTCAGACATCACAACTTTGCTTGATATGGAGAGCAATCTGCTACCAGCTTACCTACTATTGAGCATTATGAAAGGAAGAAGCTATTTTGAATCTTAATTAGCAGGGGCCAGTGGTGCAAGGGAGCAGAAGGACCAGAATCTCTTATTACTTAAAGCATCTTGCTTCTTAGATGGAACTCTGGGGCATCATTTGAATAGATTACAGTTATTTTTTCTCTTAGACTATTCTGATTCTTGATAAATGCTTTGAGCAGTTTTCCTATACTTGCTTCTTGGAGTTATTTTGGGAGGTTGTATGGGGACTGGCATCCTTCTGCTTGGCTGTCCGTATGGACACACACAGAAGCACTGGCTTCACTTGGACAAGGATTCTTTCTTTTTGTCCTGTGCAGAGTGATGCTTAGTGTCTCTTTCCTACATAGTTCTCTCTGTCTACTGATTGGCTGTCTTAGCTAATATCTTGTCCAATTATAGAATTTGCTCAACTCTGGATAGGATACAACTTGAGAAGGCTGATTTTGAAATTGAAGATTGCAGAAATTTGACTATTTTTTACTCTGGGATTTGGAATCTGTCCATTGCAAGGCTTTCAGTATGACCTTCTTTTATTGCCCAGTGACATGAGGGCTAAGAGGAGGCTATTCCTTCAGCAAACCCTAAAATGTGTTACTGTATTTTAACTATTAGTGGGGTACTTAGGACTAGGTCTCAAACACAGCCATAAGTAGGTATATTTTTAGAGCAAGTTAATGGCTCAGAATCATTGTTTTTTTTTTTTTTTTTTGTGATATGACTCTTTTTGGTGAGTGCTTTTTTCATTTTTAGAGAGTGGGGTATGGGTAAAAATGAGTCATAATGATATGGTAAACTCTGTATTGCCATTGAGTGATTGGCACCTTTGCTTGCTGGTGCTTGGAGGAGAGAACATCAGGTAAGTGAATATAAGGTTGCTTTTGGGTCTCTAAGCACTTTCAAGTGGGACCAGTTCTTCAAACCATTCATAGCTGGTTTTAAGTAACAAACAGCATTGTTTCATGACACCAGCCCAGTGGGTTGGTTGACTTGCCACCTTTTGATAGACTTCTGGTTTCGGATAAGTCATACGAATGTTTTTCTTTTAGAAAAGCATGTTTATTTTTCATCCATGGGAATGACTCTACAGTATAATCTTCATGGACCAAGAAGGTTAGCAGAGGCTTCCTTTTCAGACAATTGATTGCTTTGATTTTACTGTGTGTTGCCTGAGTTCTGTAGTTAAGAGATTCTTATGGGCAGTGTGTGCATAACGTATTGTTAATGGGGAAAATCCTTTTGTACTTCACATTTTTTTTTTTTTCCAGCACATGACCTCCTGCTGACCATAGGCTCCTGGTACTATTACCTCATCCTCCACCTTTCTATTCAGTGGGAACTTGGGGGACTGAGCTAAGTCCGTCCTACAAATTCAAGTGGTCACTCTGACAGGGCTGCTTCAGAGTCTTTATCTTTGTATATTATCTTGTTCACTTGGAGACCTTACTTCTGCTCTGTGGAGATGTGTCGCTCCCTCCTTGTGTCTGTGTTCTTAATGGATGAGAGGAAAGAATCACTGTTATCAAGGTGATAGTTATCAGGGGTTGTCCTAGCATCCTTCCAAGATTCTGGGACCTATTAAGGCTTCAGAGCAGAGCAGAAGTAGAAGAGGAGTCATTTTGGGAACCGTATTCTCAACTCTATTGTTGTCCTTTTGTTGTTGTTTTTGTTTTGGACAGTGCTAGAAATTGGCTCAGGGCCCTGTGTATGCAAGTGCTCTACCATTGAGCTACATTCTTAGTCTTATTGCTATCCTTTAAAAAGTGGCAGAAATGTTATAAACAAGTGTCTCAGTTGGACAGAGGATTCACTCCAAAATAATAATAGCATAAAACCTTGTCCCAACTCCAGCATTGCCTTGAACTGGTTTCAGGGAAAATGATTTGTAAACTGGAAAGTGGCAAACAAATAGAATACTAGTTATTTGTGATGTCTTTCTACCTAGGTGGTTTCTGGAGCCTGGGCTTCCCATTTCAGGGAGTGGGCTGATATGTAGATAGCAGTTAGAGCAGTGACTGGCACATGGTATGTGCTATAAAGGTGTTGGCAAATATCATTCACAAACTAAGCTGTAACTGAACAGACTGGTTGGGGAAAAGTACTATCGCCAGTGCCTGAAAAATTCTGAGGCCTGTTCTTAAGGCCTGAGCTAATTAAACCAACTGCTAGACCCTCTTTTATTTTTTTATGAGGCCCATAAGTGTGTAATCTGTGTATTTCATTTTCATAGCTCTTTAGCCTAGTCGTGGGCCAGGATGCAGCTGGTACCCAGACATTTATTGAAGGCGTGAAGTTGGTTGAATGCTCATTGGGGTCTGGAGTAGGCAGTTCTCCTGTGACACTTCTGTTTTGTCTTTCAGCCCTGGGCATTTCCTGCTCGAGAGTTTCTTCGCAAGAAGCTGATTGGGAAGGAGGTCTGTTTCACGATAGAAAACAAGACTCCCCAGGGGCGAGAGTATGGCATGATCTACCTTGGAAAAGGTGAGCAGCAAGAAGAGCCAATGTACTTCTCTTGGAGTCCAAAGTTCCTCTTAGGATTGGTTTTCATGTGGTAGAAGGCCAGGGTGGGTTCTAGTGGTGGGAGCTCTAGTACAGTTTGCTGTAGGTGGCTTTGAAAATGCTGGGGATACTGGGCACATGGCACAGGTGCAGAGGCATCTTTGGGTATAGATCCCCATTGGTTCTGGTTCTTATTTACTCTTATGCTGCTTTCTTGGCTTGGTTTTAGGTATATGTGCTATAGTGTAGTATTGGTCCTCCCTTTTAGACCACTAGTCCATGTACATCATTGGCTCTGTGCTTCTAGGTCAAAGTGCTGCTTGAATTCCTATTGATTTTCTGTATTGCGTCCTCTTTTTCCTTTATCTTGAGGCTTTTCTTCTCTTCTTGGGAACTCTTTAGCAAAGGAAGATCTGTTTGGGGCCTGTAGTTTTTTGTAGACCATATATTTACTAATAGAATAGAAGGAATACAGGCTTTGGAGTCATGTAGGTGTAGGTTAGAATTCTGACTTTCCCACTCTGGGTTCTTACCTTTAATCTCTTAAACCCTAGCTTCTTCATTTGTAAGCTGAGAAGAGTTTAAGAAAATAGTACGTACATAAAGCACCTAGCTTGGTATGGTATAAGTAGTCAATAACACTTCATGTGTGTATGTGTGTGTGCGCACACAGGTGCATTTACTATTGTTTAGCTAGGCCAAGTGTATCATGGGGTATTAGATGGTGTGGTCTTCTTTGGACTAGGTGGGTAGAGATTAAGATTGGGTAATGGACTTTGAACAGATACAGGACATTGGAAGAAACGGTAAAATGTTCTAGAAAGCAGTCAGGAGAAACTGAAAAGGCATTTAAAAAAAATTGTTATGATTCTTTAGTTTAAAAAAAAACCAAACCTTCCTAATATATCATGCAACTAAGCTATTTTAGAAAATCTATTTGACTTTATAGTCAGGGCTAGAGGTAAATAAGCAGATACTGACAAGCTGACAATATCTTGTTAAGACTGATTTTAATTGTAGAGATTTTAGAAAAGTGAGTTGGGGATTACCTTTAAGTCATCTTGCCCAGTTTCTTATCCATTCCTTTTATGATGGTGGAGAATGATTTAGATGGTACTGCAGTTTGAAGTCAAGTCTTCACACTTGCTAGACAGGCGCTTTACCACTTGAACCGTTCCAGCAGTCCATTTTTCTCCTTTCTGAAGGAGCAGTCAGATCTTTTTAGAAGTGGGCCATTTCAGAGTGCTCTGTGCCAAGAAAATGTCTATGAGAGCTGTTGGTGTGTTGTTGGTTGACTGGTCTTATGGCCAATCAATCACCTTATCAGTGCTGGGCTTCATTTTTTATACCGTCTGACCTCTTGGCATCTCACTACTCAGCTTTTTCCTAATTGTTGTACCCCTTGGTTTGACTTTCCACACTGGGACTCCTTTTGCTTTGAAGGAACTGGTGTAATATCTACCAAGATTAGTAAGGTCTGTGTCTGGCCTTAGCAGTAGCATAAATGGAAAGGGCCAGTCTCAGGTCCTGAATGTTCTTTGTATAAATATCATTTGCCTCAACTTTTCTTGGTAGAGATAGAGGCATATAATTCACCTGTGCAGAATTGTGGGCATTCTAATGGTAAGGCATTTAGTTGGGCACGTGCGTGCACTTTGTGTGTGTGTGTGTGTGTGTGTGTGTGTGTGTGTGTGTGTGTGTGTGTGTACTTGTTACTGCTTGTGGAAGTCAATGAACAGAATATAAATCTTAAAGAATTTTTTCTGTGCTGACATTACCTATCAGCTAGACTGCTGTGTTTCAGTTTATCTGGGAGCTTGTTCTCTGCCATATTAAAGATTTTTATATAGCGATTCTCTCATAGATAGTTTCCTTTATCGTTTCAGCTGACAAGTACAGATTTAAAAGAATATACCAAGCCTAAAAGCTTTTTCAATAATATGGAAATGCACTTAATGTTTCGAGTCCCTGGTAGAACCTAATCAGATTGAGTTTTATGTTGAACTTCATTTTGCTTGCTGTCCTGATGGTTGCTGGGTGAGAGATTAGAAATCTAGATGCTATTCTCTCAGTATCTCTGAGAGAGCAACAGGCAGTATAGCTTGTTTTGGTGTCTTCTTGGAGTACAGAATAGGACATCATGGAGAGGAATTGAATTTTTTGGTATAATGATGATAGACAACCTTAAATGAATGTGTCTATCTAGTCCTCCAAGGTGAGGAGGCTAACTTTCTAATTCTTGCCATGAGTTTGGCACTACGCTTGGTGATGTACACATATTACTTAATTCTCATAAGAACCCACCAGGCCAGTGCTCTCCCTACTTCAAAGGTGAGTAAATTAGGATGCTGAGAGAGCATATAAGTCATATAAGCAGCCAGATTTGTGTTCAGCTCCAGGCCTCTTCTGTTTTGGCTAATGGTTTCTGCTGTCCTGAGCTATCTGCTACGTATGTCTTTCTTTCTTGTCAGTTTCCTGTCATTTCTGAGATTGTCTTTGGCCTGGGAGATACACTAGAAAATGAGAAACAAAGAAATCTGAGAAGACCGATAGACCAGCAGGTCCTAGAGACTAGACATGTTGGGAGAAGCAATTTCCTGAAAAGCCTGGTGCTGTACTGTTGCCTGTCCATTTCTCTGGAGTATCGTTTTCTTTGAGGGAGTGTAAGAGTAGTCCGTTTACTGGCACTCTGTTGTTAGTGGAGGCAGGTTTGAATCTTGTTTAATTTCCTTTTCTTCTTCTTCAGATACTAGTGGGGAAAACATTGCGGAGTCACTGGTTGCGGAGGGCTTGGCTACACGGAGAGAAGGCATGAGAGCTAATAAGTAAGTATTAAGGACTTCAAGGGACACTGGTTAGTCAGCTGTAAACTGGCTTTGCTGCATTTTCATTCCTGTTCCCTCATATAAAATGAATAACCTCGGTACTTTCATGCCTTCTGAAATATTCTGGCCCATGTATTATGTTGAATCAGGAGGTCACTCAATATTCATTAATGCTGTTTGATGTATGTACCTCCTTTAAACAGGCTTTGATATGAGACAGTTCTGTTCTTTGTGAGTCAATAGGTCTTTTACCATGGATTTTCAGTCTCAGGGTATTTACCCAACCATCCAGTCCCAAATATTTATTGAGCATTTACTGTGTACCAGGCTGTCTTCTAGGCCCTGAGAATATAGCAGTGAAGAGACTTAAACTCCTAGCATGCTAATGGGGAGACAGAGAATAAACAATATGATATCACATAGGGTACAAGGAGTAGTGCAGTGAAAAATAAAGTTGGGCAAATAAATAAGATTCAAAGCAAAATCTGCTTAGATTCTGGGGAAACTGACAAGGCCACAGTTATACTGTTTTGAGGATTAGGAAAAATTTTTATCTCTTGCCTTTTAATTCTGTTTGGTCTACAGATCTGTAGAGACTTAATTAGTAGGTAAAAATTTTTTGTTTAGCCAATGGCAACATGTACTTGTATTAAGTATGTAAGGTATATAGTATATACATCATGCTCAAGTTCACTAGTGTTAGCTCTCAGTAGGATGGATTGTAGCTGGCTTTAATTTAACACTTTAGTTTCTGTGAAGTGATAGGTCATATCAGTAATTTGGAGGCTGTAAACTGCTATTTAAACCATTATGTCCTTGCTATATTATATGCCTGAAGAAAGGGATTTGGATAAATATTTGAGGTGTACCAGTGATGAGAGTGAGCAAAGGCACAATTGTAAATTTTGCCTTCTTTCTGCCTTTTTAGACTTTCGGTCATTCACTATCTACTTCTGTGTTGCTTTCTGATTGGAAGGACACATTTGCTGGACTCTAATTAGTGTGTGTACATGTGGGAATTTGTTGAATTAAGATATTTGTTTTAGGTGATGTTTTTGGAAACATGCCACAGTTCTAACTTAAGGACAATTACTGGTATGATTACCGTTACTGTGTTTTTTGGGAATTCAGTTTGCAACCAGAATGAATAAAGAAAAAAAAATCCCGTGACAGTTTTGTACCATCTAAACAAACCATGACTGGTAGGAAGAGACTTGTGTGTGTGTGTGTGTGTGTGTGTGTGTGTGTGTGTGTGTGTGTGCGCAGCCATTGATGGTACCAGATGTTTGTTTACCTTGCAGTTAAGAGAGTGAAGAATCATTTCTTGCTTTGATCTATCCACTCACTTTTTGGCTGCTCTAGTACTAAAGTAGTTTGGTTTCCTGCCTGATGAAGGAGGAAGCTCCATTTTCAAACTGCTTTTGCCTACTTGGCCTTATTGAATGTATAAATAGTTTGGGGTCAGTGTTACCTGTAGCAACAGTTCGTTGTGCATGCCATGGTCTTGTATTGTGGCAGAGAGTAAGGGTGGCTCTTAGTCACCTTCCCTGTTCTGTGCCCTGTTGAGCTGTGCCTAGACATTGGTTCCTGAATCTGAGATGATTAAATGAAGCTGTATCTTCTGGAGTGGCTCCCCTCTGTGCCGCTAACTTATTCTTTCCCACACAGTGGTGGTGGTAGTGCTCTTAGAATCTAATCTGTTGTTTGTGCAGGTTTGGAATCTGGAAATTGTCTTCATGGTGATTTTTCAGGTTATAGGTTGGATCTTCAATCATAGATCTCAAACAGATGTTTTTGATCTCTTCTAGGGGAAAATGCTGAAGAAACCCAGTGGCAAAGAGCTGTCTCTGTTTGTGAACTCACTAACCACACATTTCTTTTTCATGTCTTAGCCCTGAACAGAACCGGCTTTCAGAATACGAGGAACAAGCAAAAACAGCAAAGAAAGGGATGTGGAGTGAGGGGAATGGTGCACATACCATCCGGGACCTCAAGTATACCATTGAGAACCCAAGGCACTTTGTGGACTCACACCACCAGAAGCCTGTCAATGGTGAGGCTGGTGGGAAAAGACTGATATGACTGAGTGTGATTTCTTTCTGTTTGCTTTCTTTACTTCTTGAGGTTTATAAGATCTGGTGAGTCTTTCTTTTGCTTATTTAGTATCTAAAGGAAATCCTTAAGGGTGAAACAATGCCATAGCATTTTGGAAGGGAGTTTGAGTGCTGTTCACACAGGTTACATGAGATATATTTTGCAGAGGCTAGTCCTTTGATATTGCTGTGTAGTAAATTGGTAGTATTTTGCACATTTTGGATCTTTTGTTTCCTAAAAGAAGGCTACTTAAACACTACCTCTGAAACATGGAGGTAGAAGCAAGTATTCCATAAACATGTAAACATATATATTTATATGCTATATAGTTTCTGGTCCTACTTTGAGACTTTGTATGATCAATCCCAAATTATTAATTGTTTTGGCCAGCACCTGGTACTAAGATGAAATCCTGGATTTTGGATAACAAAGGTACAATGTGAGCCATGGGGTCACATCGAAAGTTCAGAACAGAGAGAAGCAAGTCTGATCTGTGCTCCCCAGGACTGGGTCATGTGAACCCTCCTGATCTGCTAGTGTAGTAAAAACTGATCAGCTCACATCTCAGAGGGAAGCTTTCTCAGCATTTGGGGCAGATCTCAGAGGGAGGCTTTCTGAGGGTTTGGGGGCAGAGGAACTGGGGTAGATGCGATTTGATTGGGCATTGTATATCCCTGGAGGGACTTTTCTAACCACTGAAGCTCTTTATTCTGTCATGCAGCTATCATCGAGCACGTGCGGGATGGCAGTGTGGTCAGGGCCCTGCTTCTCCCAGATTACTACCTTGTTACAGTCATGCTGTCAGGGATCAAGGTCAGACCATATTCTGGGCTGTGTGGTGGGCATGGGATCTGTGGAAGTTTTCAATGATAGGCAGACTTCTTTATTTGGGGACTTTAATTCCACTGTTTCTTCCTATCATAGGTCATTCACCATAGTACTTTATACTTACTTTGTTTTAAACTTGGCAATGAGACAATTCTAATTGGATCACATAACTTTTTTTTTTTTTCCTAATATACTCTGGGTCTGTTTGGAATGGGAGGTTTTCGAAAATATAAACCTAGAAATGGAGGGACAAGTGACTCTGAAGCTTGCTGAATATGGTGTATATTAATGTAAAATATCCATTTGTATTTAAACAATTCAGGGATTAGAAACTAGGCACTAGCAACAGTTTTCTTGGAAAGGGGCTATTTTCAACTGTAATTAAGTGATTTTTCCACACAAAAAACCTTATTTACCTTTGACAAGTCTGAGAGGACCAATATGTTTTAAAAGTGTTAGAAGAGCTAATTTGAGACCTCCTTGAACTTACCTTGTGGTGTTTGTGCCTTATGGAAGGCTCTGTGCAGGGCAAGTGCCTAGCTCTCCCAGGTTGCATTTCTCACTGGACTTACTTTCTTTTAGTGCCCAACTTTTCGTCGTGAAGCAGATGGCAGTGAAACACCAGAGCCTTTTGCTGCAGAAGCCAAATTTTTCACTGAGTCGAGACTGCTTCAGAGAGATGTTCAGATCATTCTGGAGAGCTGCCACAACCAGAACATTCTGGGTACCATCCTTCATCCAGTGAGTGTGCTGCACAGCCTGGGTTGTGATGGGCCAGGGATGGATTCAGGCTTTGAAGAGCTGAACTTGGTTTCTCTGTTTATTTTTCTATCTGTGCTTAACATCCATTTAAATATCTTGACAGGTTTACCATCAAATGATTTTTGAGGCATTTTCTAGGGAGAACTCATTTGTCTTACAGATTGGACAAATTCTGTGCACCTTCTTGCCTTTAGGGAGTTAATCTCAAATGTTACTGGGTTAGTAAGGGGAAGGGTAGCTTCATTACTTACTTTCCCAAGTGTTTTATCCTAGAGTTGCCAGTAAGATAGGCTAGAGATGACTGTATCCTATAAAAAAGGAACTGAAACTTGCAGAGTAGGGTTAATGAGATTTGTATGTACATTGAGAAGTCAGCTCTCTAGGGTATTGGTTGACCAATCAGAAGGAAATCAATATAAGGAAAAAGTATTTTCTGTATTCCAGTCCTTATCCAGTTACCTCCTAACTCTGATTTGAGCAGGAACTACATTCTTTTATTATTTATTTACTCATTGATTGATTGATTGATTCACTCATTGTTGTGCTGAGTGTACATTGTGGCATAGGAACTTGGTTCTTTATGACCTTGTAGTTCTGACCATTGGGAGTTTGATCCTGTTGTACACTTTGGTAGATGGGTTATTCTTGAACATGGAATGACCTTGTTTTGTGACAACTAAGTGAATTTTCATTACTGTAATCTATAATGTAACACACAGTTAAGCTACTGTTACTTTTTAGACTAGATGATTCTTCCATGGTGGCAGTTGTAAAAGTCTGGGAAGCTTGGTTTGGAGTGTGCCAAGGTTATCTATGTTTCTTCTGGAGTGCTGACTATCTGGCCTTGCCCTGCTACATGGCTCTGTAACAGTAGAATATGAATTGTAATTCACAGAGCAAAATGTGGCTTATACAATTCCCTACATAGCCTCTTCAGTTTTCTGCTTATGAAAAGGGAAGGAAGTGCTGATCTTAGGGAAGGGAAGAATAAGGTGTAATCTCTCTAAAGATTAATATCCTTCTCTGCCCCCAAGAAGAGCTATTGAAATGTCAATTCCATTCAATGTCACTAACATTTATTCCACTCCTGTTAAGCGAGAAGTACTGTGTTGAGATATGAAGCCCTATCTATCGTAGAGATAGTTTCTTAAAGATAGAAACTACTTTTTAAATAAAATGAGCTATTGGGTAGATTGTGGTGAAGTTTGCTGTTTCAGAAGTCTAGGGAAATGGATTTTCTTGTAACAGAATCTAATCCACAACTGCCTTCTCTTGCACCTTGTTTCTCAGAATGGCAACATCACTGAGCTTCTCCTGAAGGAAGGTTTTGCACGCTGTGTGGACTGGTCGATTGCAGTTTACACACGGGGTGCAGAAAAGCTGAGAGCAGCTGAGAGGTAAGGTCTGCCAGGGAAGCCTTCCAGCCAAGGATCTTGTTAAGGTTCTTAGGGAAAGAAATGTAACCATCTTTTCTCACCTATGTCTGCCAATGTCTGTTTTATTACAGTAAAGGAGTTTTTTTTCTTTCAAAAGAAGGTAGACTCTCACAGAAGAATGACTTAAACATTAATCTTTAGGCTTGGTTTAATTTAGTGCGGTATAGTAAGGGCTTAGACTTTACTTGATGTGCTTTTTTAATGTTTTCACATTACTTTTTCCAAGGTCCCCTATTAGTTCTGGGTTTTAGGCATTTGGAATGACTTGAGGCTCATTTCAGGATGATGAAATTGCTTATTAGATGCTTCTAACTAGGTAGGCTGCAGTAGAAAAGGTAGAACCTATTAGTCTAAACTAGGACTGGGTCATGTTGTAGGCTTAATGCTCTAATTTCTTTAAAAGAATGTTTGAATCATAATAACCAATACAGCTCTGATAATGCTGTTTTTGGCTTGGTCTCTTATCATTAAATCAGATGCAGAAATAATATTTCCTGGAAACTGAGCATGGAAATTTCAAAGATTGGTAGCTTGTTCAAGTGTCAAGGACAAGTATTTCTAGATGTTTAGGTAAACTTCTTTCACTTGATGGGTAAATGGAAGACAATAAAGCAGGTACCAACAGTAGATGAATGGAAATGATGCTTAGGAAAGCCTGTAAGCAGAAGACAGCACACAGTCAGTGACAGTGATCTACTGTCAAGGCTTGCTGTATGGCTTAGTTCACAATCCTAAAATCGTAATGGTTTTGATAACTGTACATTTTTGTCATTGAGATGTACAGCTAAGAAATGTACAAGATAAGTTGAATAAATACAGTATTCTTCATTCTTTTACGTCTTCTTGTGTCTCTAAAGAAATACCTGCAAGTTTTTGTGAAAGTAGATTTGAATCTGGTTGTCTGACAAATGGATATTGTCTAATGAAAAAATTACAGCAATTGTTTAAATATTTTTTTAAGTTTTATGTTGTCCCATAACTAATATAGAATGATATAATAGCCTTGTCAAGTGCAGTGTTCCAAATACTTCTCATTATTATGTGATATTCAGTTTCTTTCTCTGTCTTCTTTTTTTCCCCTCCCTTTGGTTTATAAACTTCTAAGTCTGTTACTATTTTAAATTATATTGACTGATACTCATTTTTGTATTCTTTAAGTTCCTGCCTTGTGAAGAGACTAAGCACAATTAAAGTAATATCTACATGTTTTATACCATCTGTAGAAGATTTTATGGATTTTTTTGGAGAGTGCTCATCATTATAAAACAGACTTAGACTGGGGAATGCAAATCATATCTCATGTGATTACTTGCCTGCTGTTTTGTATGCTGTATTTGAGCTACTTGCATTGTTGGTAAAATTACATCCTCTCTATGGAAGTGCTTTATGTATTTTACACCTACTATATCCTTCTTTGTCAGTTTTCCATTTTAGAACTTCTCTAAAAAAAAAGAAAGGTTATAGCACTGTTTTCAGAAATAATAATTCCTTTCTAGTACACAGGCATCCACTTACTTGTAAATAGTTTAAGACAACTGTTCATTGCTTTTTTTTTTTTTTTGAGTCCTTGCACATATTCTACTCTTAATCTGACTTAGAAGGAAATCTACTGGGTTTAGTACTTTAAAACAAATTCCTGAAACATGGTTTTTAAATTCTTACTGATGAACTTCTGTAGAGATTTTGTCCATTTTCAATTATTCTTTAGATGCGCTATGATGACAGTTTTGTTCTGTATAGGATTTGGTTCCTGATAACCTTTGTTTTTTTCCTTTTTCTTTTTGGCAGTACTGAAAGTTGAACTCAGGGCCTTGTGCTTGTCCTGAGCCATGCCTCCAGCCCAGGCCTGTGATTCTTAAAAAAATATTTGTTTAGATGTGTGTGTTCTTTCCATTGAAGAGAGTAGTTGTTTAGTGTGTCAGCCTACATTACTTTAGTAATTTCACTCAGTAAATCAAAGCATTATTTGGGTGAATTTGTACTGTCCAGGCTCTAATGGTTGCACACCTAGCTTCCACCCAGTCTACTAGCCATGATACGTGTATCTTGGATTTTCCCATTTGCCGTATACTTTTTTAATATCTCCATTCTCTATCATTCTTTGTTCTGGTTTGACTGGTGGTCTTTCTCCCGTATATGTCTGTAGGCTAGGGTAGGATTCTGGATTACCTGCTCCCATGATGATGGTGGATTCAAATGAAATGGATTTGATCTGTCTGAATGATCTTGCATTCTTGCTTTGTTGCCAGGTTTGCTAAGGAGCGCAGGCTGAGAATATGGAGAGACTATGTAGCTCCCACTGCTAATTTGGACCAAAAGGACAAGCAGTTTGTTGCCAAGGTGAGTCATTCTCAGCATGTTGATATGTATAGTGGACATTGCTAGGCGAGTGATGATACAAGGGTTTGACCAATTAGATAAACCGTAGCTCTTGAATATTTCAAGGTGTGTGTGTGTGAGAAAGAGAGAGAGAGAGAGAGAGAATGAGAGATTGATTGATTGATTGATTGTAGGGAGTTTAGAAACCAATAGGAACATTTGCATTTTTTGCTTTAAGTTCATGGGTTAAAGGTGTGAACACTGCCAACTTGAAATAGTGCTCGTATTTTAGGGATTCTTTTCATCTGCTTAGCAAATGGTGCGTTCTTAGGTTTTCTGTGACTAAGGATATATGCCTTTGAGTTCCTATTCATTCTGTTTTGGAACAGGTGGTTTTGTTCTTCCTTGATTTGTCTTGAGATGGTTTGCTTTGAAAGGAACTAGAGCTATTAAATAACCACTTACAGTGCTATAAAAATGTTTTGTCTTAGATTTTGGTAACTTGAGTGACACCCTTCCCAAAATGCTACAGTGTATTCCAGCCTAATTATGCTTTTGCCAAGAGATGCTGAAAATTTTGTCTGTTTACAGGCAAAATGTGGTTAGGTAGCCATATTCTTGAAAAAAAAATAGCTATCTCACCAGCTACCATGGATTTAGTATGAAAAACCACTAGGTGGCACTGCCAGCTTGAGAAATCCCAGAATTGTTTTACCATGATAAAATTTTTGCAAATTCAGCCAATTCCTCAGAGAATTGTGATTTTTTTGTGATACCTAAAGTAATAGGTCACAGAGTGTGCAAGTGGCCTCTTTCCCTCTTTAGTAGGTGTTAGGTGAGTGTAGTAGACATGAATGGGAGCTATCCCTCAGGGCATACTCCCCACATCTTGATGCACACCTGAACTGACCTACCTCTGCTTCCTTTCTCTGAGGAATATACTAGTGTATATCTGGATGTGGCTGCTGTATCTATTGGAACTCAGTTGTGCCTATGCTTTTTGTAAATAAGAAAGTGGCTACAAATTCAGAGGATAACCATTCACTCAACAGAGTTGGTAGAAAAAACTGGAAGATGAATTTTGGCCTTCACTGGTTGGGGATATAAGTGTTTGCTTATCAAGAAAGAAATTCAGAGGATTAGATGATCAAGTCAATACAATAGCTTTGCATTTATCTTTTTTTTTTAATCATGAGCTCAATATGTAGCCCAGGTTGGCCTTGAACTCATGATCATTCTGCCTCAACTTCCCATGCTGTGATTACATGCTATGATGCCTAGCTTGCATTTATCTTAAATATGATAAGATAAAGGAGAAATGACTACAGGAACATTTCATCCATTTAAAAAAATGCAGGATCCCAGAATTTGGTCTTTTTTTTTTTTTCTTTTTTAAAGATGAATCTTTTGCCATTACAATGAACTTTTATTTATTACAATGTGAGACAGAGGAATTTGCCCCTTGTGATCATCTGATTGAGGATTATGAGGAATAACCAATCTCCTGCAGACCCTTAAATAAATTTAGGTTATTTGAATATAGGCTGGTATATAGAGTAGAAGAAAATGTATTTGTGGGTAGAAAAAGGATTTAAAAGCATTTTGAGATCTAAAAATTCTTAATTTTTTTTTGTTTTTTCAAACAGGAAAAAAGTGTCAAGAAGATAGGCAGAAACACCCATACCACCTGAGATACTGTGATGTAGCTTTTTTCCCCAATCAAATTTGGTCATACTCTCTATCAGAGTCAGGAAGCTATGATCCGTGGGTCAAATCTGGTTCTATCCTTGCTTGCGTGTGGCCTGTGTATTTTATACCAGAAAAACAAAAACATTTTGTGGCATGTGAAAATTATGTGATGTTAAATTTCACTGTTACGAATAAATTTGAGCATAGCCGGGTGTATTTGTTCAAGTATTGTCTTTGGCTCCTCTCGTAATGCAGTGACACAGTTTAGTAGTTCTTACAGAGTTGTTGAAAACTTGAGTTTTAGCTGGCAAAGCCTGATATATTAAGGCCTGGAGGTATGGCTCAAATGGTAGAGTGCCTGACTAGCAAGCAAAAGGCCGAGAGTTCAAACACCAGCATTGGAGGGCGGGGGGAAGGCATATATACTGTCTGGCTCATTACATAAAGTTTGATGCTCTGATCTATACCAGTCTTGCGCAGAGAGCCTTGATATGATGTGTAGTTTGAAAAAGAATGTAAATCTAGGCTTCTCTCATCAAGAAAAATTATCAGCAAAAAACTTTTAGCACCTGTCACTGGTGGCTCACATTTGTAATTGTAGCTGCTTGGGAGGCTGAGATTGGGAGGATCACAATTCTAGGACAGCCGGGGCAAATAATTCATGAGACCCCCATCTCCAAAATAACTGGAGCAAAATGGACTGGAGGTGTGGCTTAAGTGGTAGCACACCAGCTTTGTAAGTGGGAAAGTCCTGAATTTAAAGCCCAGTTCCACCATTAAAAAAAAAAAGTCAGCCTCATTCTTAGTGGTGTATGTAAGTTGACTAAGGTCCTTATCTTATTGCAGTCTGGCAGCCACTTTCAATATTTGGCTAATTTATATTGCTGAATAAAATGTTTATATTGGTATTTATCTTCCAGCTGTAAGAATGGCCCCTGTCTTTAGTTTTGTTACTCAAACACACATTCACATGGGCATACATGTGATCTTCCCCACTCTTCAAATATGATTATATCGTAATTTTGATTAAATTAATAGTGTTTACTTTGTAACTGCTTATTACATTGTAAGAACTATATAGCCATATTAAAACTAATTTTCATTTCCTATACATTTTTTTGTTTTCCCTGGAGTTACTAATTTATAACATTTATGTGTGTGTGCATATATATTATATATATATATATATATACATTACATATACAACATGAATTCGACTTTCAGAGTCTGACTATCTAAATCTCCTCAAAACATTCATTCAGTCTGCTAATATTACCTTCAGCAATACTTCCTTGGAGCTTTGTAACCTGCAGTAATCTGGACTGGTTCCTCTTTTTGCCTAGTACAGAGCAGTTATCTTTGGATTTCTTCCTTATTATTATGGGTTGGGGGCTTAGGAACTTCTTTACTTTCCTGGGTTCCTGGCTTTTTCTTTATGATTCTACTGCTTCATTTGGTGGTACACTTTTTTCTAATTTCATGGCAGAAGAGTGTCTGAGAGGTAAATTTTCTGAGATAAATAGCTATGTTCTACTTAAATTTGGTAATTTGGTTGGATATAGAATTTTATTTTGGAGGTCATTTTTGGTCATATTGTTAAGATATTGCTCCATTGTCATTTAGCTACTAGTGTTTTTTGTTTTGTTTTGTTTTTGGGTTGTGTGAAACCATGGTGATTCTTTATCCCCATATATATATATATATTTTTTTTTTTTCTTCTTCCTAGAAGGATTTAGCAGTCATTTTGATCCTAGTGTTCTGAAATTTTACAGTGATGCAACTTGTTTATCTATGTGTTATTAATACTGTGCTTCAGTGTTGAGACCTTTAGTTTGGGGACTTTTTGTTTTTCAGCTCTTCCATTGATTTCCATCTAGTTTCTCATTTCTCTGTTCTCCCTTTTCCTAGAATTCCTATTATTTGGATGTTGGACTTCGTGGATTTTTGAAAAAGGATCTTTCTATGTAGCCCAGGCTGGCTTTGAATTTTTGGTTCTCCTGTCTCAACCTTCTGAATGCTGGGATCACAGGCCTGTGCCTGGCTCTCTTTTTCTTTTTAGGCTTCTTTCTATTTATTGTTCAGCCCTTCTATTGACTCTTTTATTTATGATACTCTTCTTTAAAATCTAAGATTTTTTTTTGTTCTCTGAAAGTTTTTCTTTTATTATTACTGTTTTAGAAATAACATCTAAAGTTTTTTCAGACCACCTAGCTCACTGAGGAATTAACTTTAATGTGTTTGAAGTTTCCCCTATATGCTCTCTCTGTTCTTCTCTTCCCTTCTTCAGTTATTTTGGTCCTCCACATCCCTCCCTTTTTTTTTTTTTTTGTGGTACTGTGGCTTGAACTCAGGGCCTTCACCTTGAGCCACTCTACCAGCCCTATTTTTGTGAAGGGTTTTTTGAGGGTCTCATGAACTGTTTGCCCAGGCTGGCTTTGAACTGTGATCCTCCTGATCTCTGCCTCCTGAGTAGCTAAGATTATAAGATTACAGGTGTGAGCCCCAGGCACCCATATTTTTGTCCCTTATTTTCATATTCAAGTCTTTCCTCAGATGTTTGATTATCAGATGTTTATCTCTTATTGAAGAGCAAGAAGCTCTGGGTTAGAAGCTTTGAACCTATGTATGGATTTAGGACATACATCTTAAAATTTAGCAGCTTCTTATAGAGTTGAAATAAATCCTAGTGTTTGTACCCACTTTTGTTCCCACTTGAGATAACTGATGTGACAGTTTCTGAGCCTTTTGGTGAGCCCAGGGAGGGATGGAGCTCTGCAGTATGCCATTTTCTCACCACTGGCTCCTTGTGAACCTGTAGAGTCAGTTACTCATCTATTTACTTTTCCAGCTACCAGATCAGCTCACATAGAGATAAAGCTACAGAATACTGTCTTGTGACAGTATTCTTCTACCCCATTGTGTTCATTCTCTTGGGCCTATGTAGATAGACAGGTAGGTGGGTTAAATCTGTTTATTTTTATCTAAAGCTTTATAGGGAGGGGACCAAAATAAATGTTTGAGCTTTATAAACTAGTATATAACATTCTGTTATGAAGCTGCACCATAATTTATTTAACCATTCCCAATAGGTTGATATTTGTGTAGTGAATTATTTTTCCAGTGGTTAAAAAATGGAATAAATCTCCATGTAAATGGTAGCTATTTCCTTATAAATGGTTGGAGCATAGTTAACAAATAATCTGTTCAGAAATGTTAACCAGAATATATCTTTCAGTGGGTTTATTTTCTAAAATTCTGTAGAACATATTAGGAGTTGGCCAACTTTTTCTGAAAGGAGCGCAGTAAACAGATTAGGCTTGATTGGGCTTTAG